GATATGAGAAAAGGTCTAAGCCCCGCCAGACAACAAACAACCCGGGGAATAACAAATCAAGAGATCGCAAACACACGTTGCTTACCTCAACAACACGGGTAACTCGCCCGACGGTCAGAACTTCCGCTCTAGAAGTCGTACTGACCTGGCCAGCAGCCCGGGAAGTCGACTCGATGGCAGCCTCCACCTACAATAAACAATCGCAACTCAGGGAGCTAAAAGAGAACGTACAAAGAAAGAGCAAGTCATCGACAAGCAATCCCAACCGCTCGTTCAGAAGCCCGGATAGATACCTCGGCAGGACGGACGAAAGGCTCGACAGCCAACGCTGCCCCCTCAGAAACCACCCGAGCTCCCCCCTGGGGCAGGAGACTCCCGGACAAACCCGCCACCCCAACAACCTCCTCCGCCTCGCGAGGAACAGAGGCTCCCCCAACCTCCCTCGGGACCCTCTTCCTTTTCCGATTGATCTTCAGGGGAGAGACCTCTACATCCCCCTGAGCCTTAGAAGCCTCAAGCTCAACAACATTGTAGCAATGGTACTACTTCCAGTCACACCACAAGTCCTTTCCCACAATACCTGACAGCAAAGGACAAAGCACGTTAGCAAGCATAAAACCCTAACACATAAACAAAGTTACCAAAGACTCACCCTCCAAATCTCTTTCTCTGTGCGCCGAACGCTCGAGCGACAGAATGAGCTTGCAGTCTAGCAGGCGAGGAAGCGCCTTCAAAGCATTGACAGCAGCCGTCTCCGACGGCGTCAGCTGCGAGGGGTCCACCCCATGAAACCCAGACGAGTCACGGCACCAGTAGAAGGGAAACCTCGGCAGCCCGCCAAAATAGAACCTTCCATCCTCTAGAGGGTCGACATCGACAAGAGTAACCCGGAAAAACTCTTGCCCTTCCGATCTAAGAGACGTTGGGATTAAAAATAATAATAATAAATAAATAAATAATTCTAAAAGTTGAATTTCTTAAAGTTTCTTATCATTGAAGTAAATTTGTATTAGAGTTACTTAATGTTGACATGACACACTGGAGATCACTTTTTTCATTTTTCAATGCATGAAACAATTCAAATGAGTTGTTTCCATTAGAGATGCCTTAAGATCCTGTTTGAACACATATATTTGTGTATGTTTCACTTTCATAATTGCATACCTTCGATGATTTGTCTTTTATTTCTCATATTACACACACTAATATTATAATTAACTAAAAAGAATTCTTAAATTGTGTTTAGACGATAAAATTTAAATATTTGAGATGTTTGAAATTATAATCATTTTTATTTAAATTTTATTTATTTTATAATTAATTATGATAAAATAATTTGATTTAAATTTTTTAAATTTTAAATATTTAATTTAAAAAATGCAATTTAATTTACGTTTTATGCAAAAAAAAGGAGTATATATTTGAGAATTGTAAATTTTAACATTGTTTTTTTATCGAAAATAAATATTAGTTAAAAAATTTAAATATTTAATAATTTTAAAATTTTACAATAGATAATACTTACTAATTTAAAAATAATTATAAATATTAATAAATATTGTTAAATTTTATGTCAATAATAATAGATAAACAAGAAAAGAGAGAATAAGAAGATGAGAAAAATGACGACATATGAAAAAAGAGATAGAAAGAGAGAGAGATAGAAGAAAGAAGACATAAAAAGAGAGTAGGACAAGAGAGGAGATTGAGAAGAGGAAAAGAATACAGAAAGAAAAAAATAACAAATAAATAAAAATATACACAAAATCTCACTTATGTAAATGAGATTATTAGATGAGTGTATTATAAGTCTTATAAAATCTATTTTTCAAAAAAATTATCTATTGGAATTTTTTTTAATACCATAAAACTTTTTTAAAGTCTTAGTTGATTAATAAAATACAGTGAATTTTTTTTATTATAAATATCACTAAATTTTAACATTTAAAAAAAAAATTGATTGAATAAGGCAACACTTTTTAAATATCACATGGTACATATCTTGAGTACCACGGAATTAGTTTTTTCACCTAGTAGGCTGGTGATAAATGTTATAAAATAAAATAAAATAAAAAAAATCCTCTAATGAATACACATTATGTGTTTTGCCACGTTGGAAATATTTTTGGGGTCCCAGTAATTGTGCCAAACTATGGGCTATTGCTCCGGTGCCCTCTTATTTGAAGGGGTTTTGGTGCCCCTCAGTACAAAAGTTGGGTTTTTAAGGGCAATAAGGTAAATTGATAGCCTTCGGACAATTTATCAATTTATCTTATTGCCCCTAAAAACCCAACTTTTATACTGAGGGGCACCAAAACCCCTTCAAATAAGAGGGCACCGCAACAATCCCCCAAACTATGGTGCAACTTGTATTATACCAGCACTTGTGTTGAATCATATCAATTAATTGGGTCTTTGAACTGACGCAACGCAATCAACCTCATTCAAAATGATAGGGACCAACCAAAAGCCATTTATGCCTTTCCTTGTGCTAAACACTAAATATATACCCTTTCAAGTCCAAACAAAATTCCCATTTCTTTTTTTAATTTCTTTCCTATATTGACAATCAAAGAATCTTGTTTTATTTCTTCACATCCCACCAAATTTTTTGTTTATCTTAAATATTTGCAAATCAAATACCATATTTTAAGCATTTTACATTTTAAGAAGGCCAAGAAAAACAATAGTAAATTAAGGTGACGTGCTCTTGGGGACTAAATATAAAAATATCTGAGTCATATCTACCCATGAGTTAATGCAATTAAGTCCCTCGTTATTTATGAACTATATATCAGCCCACAGATGCAATGTAACCAGGAACCACTTTTCCAGCACCTTGTTTTAGTTAGTTCCCTGTTTTTCTCTGCCCTAGTTGTTTGAAACCAAACTACCTATCATAACTCTGAATATCTAAACTTTCCTTTATTGCAAGCAAATTCAACTACAAGCAGTAGGATAGCCAATCCAACCACCACCTCAGTTAACCTTTTTTATCATATGCTCTTCAACTGTTTATAGGTTTAACTGAAGACAACAGAAATACCAATATCAATTCACCCAATGGTTTGTGGTCTCTTTTCACCAATGAGAACTCGATACAACCCCACTGAACCACCACTTGATTTAACTCGTCATATATATGTATCACATTCTATATCATTTCTTTTCTTATTCAAAATTAAATAGTGATTATAGCATCATTTAGCTTTAGGTAACCAACAAAGTTACCCCCAAAGCCAAACATTAGAAAACAAAAGAAAAATGTTAACAGATATCTCTAAGCACTAATTATGGAATTATAAAGTTTTTATTCAAATTGTAACAACTTATTCTCATGTAATTTTAATATAGTTTTCAGACTAATATCTGTTAATATGATCACTATTTTTCCCACGTTTTTTATTCATTAAACTCAAAGATCTTATTTAAAAAAATTAAGTTTAATACTACACCAATCAATGACTTTTGTTGGTAAGTGTCGATTCTTTAATTATATTCCATGTCAACAAGACCCAAAAACAAAAAACAAGAAAAATAGGTGGAAATTGAACAAACATATGACATCTTGTCTCTTCAGCTATTTTCCCTAAAAGTTGAATTTCTTAAAGTTTCTTATCATTGAAGTAAATTTGTATTAGAGTTACTTAATGTTGACATGACACACTGGAGATCACTTTTTTCATTTTTCAATGCATGAAACAATTCAACGAAGACGAAGCGTGCATAAGAAGCTGAGGGGCCAAGAAAGAGTAAAGCGAAAACGAGAAGAGGCGCGGGAAAAGGAAAAAACCTCTTCCCAAAGTTCAAAACGGCCAGGCCACGTGTCGACCAAGGGGCACGCTTGATGACACATTAATTGCAACCCATCATTGCATAACCGTCATTTCCCTTAATGCGCCACTTGCACGTTCCCGGGAAATGAACAGTCGCGACACATTGCAGACCCTCAGGTGGTGCACGTGGAAAGCTACTACTCATTGGCGAGCCCGGTCTCAGCTCCTCGACCTACGATCTTCAAAGCTCGGGGGGCTAGTGTACTAACCGTACTTCGCATCCGGGCTCCGAGCCCGGATTACAACCCCGGGCACGCGGTGCATGACGTCAGCTCGGTATTTGAGCAAATCATACCAGATTCCGAGGATCTCGTCCCAGACCGGATCCGCCCTCCAATTATATCATATCATGATATATCTTATCTCAAGCCCAAAAGCCCAAGGCAAACCTAGATCACCTCAAAGTACGTGCATTATATATATGAGACTATTACTCCTGCAAACCCTAACTTTGGCATCAGAGTCTCTTTTGCAGGTACCTCCCTCATCTTGAAGCACCAATACATCAGGCAAAGGAGACTCACCGATCTTACTGGACGGATCACCTCTACGACCAAATTCCGGTAAGAACATATACTATTTAACTTCACACCACTATTTCTATATTGCTACTTAAATTCATATAAATCAAAATTCAAATACATTTTCCAATTGCATTATTTATTATTAAAGCATATATTCCCTTAATGAAACATGATACCATCCCGTGTAAATCTAAGTAACACAAGTAAAGAGAAAAATAAAAAATGACAGAGAATAGATTAAAAGATTAAATAAAAAAAAAGGTGAAAAGTTGAAGTAGAATGTAAAACATAATTAAAGGATAAAAATTCTAGAGTAGTCTAAAAAAAGTGATAAAAGTTTTTGCCCAAATCCACACATTGAATACACTGGTTAGATAGGTTATTGGATGAACTAAGAATTCACGCAATTGTAATATTTAATTAATTAATCGTGAACCCTAGCTTAATGGAGGGTTATATATAGCAAGTTTGATTGTTGGCGCAGTTGTATCGGTGGCGCCGTGTGAGAACTGAGAAGAAGGTATGATAGTGTAACAAGTCCCACATCGGGGAGGTCTCCTTACCAGGGAGGCCTTATAAGGCGGGAGGTTCTCCAACCTCTTGGGCCGGCTTTTGAGGGATGGTTCCCCTCCTTAGCCTTATGCTCGTTACAATGGTGCTTTCATTGAGAGCCAGCCAAATCGAGAAGGGCTACCCACGGAGGGTTCTGACCATCGGAGGGTTCTGACCGGCAAGGGCCGAGTGAAGTGCCGATGAGTGAAGTACCGTGGAGTGCAGCCATCGAGGACGCTGGCTTTCGAAGGGGGTGGTAATGTAACAAGTCCCACATCGGGGAGGTCTCCTTACCAGGGAGGCCTTATAAGGCGGGAGGTTCTCCAACCTCTTGGGCCGGCTTTTGAGGGATGGTTCCCCTCCTTAGCCTTATGCTCGTTACAGATAGTATAATATGATAATGAGTAATCTGAATTGATAGTTAACATTTAAGAAACCCTATGATATGATAATGAATCTGTTGATTTGTGAGCGCAGCGCAGTCAGAGGATCAACTGAAGCCGCTGTTTGTGTAATCGAAATGGAGACGAATAGGATCAAGGATGCTTACTTGAAGAAACTCGTTTCGGAGACATCTATAATTGGCCATGACAAATGGAGAAATCAAGTGTTCGAGTATTTCAGATTTGACTGCTCTACCGTTGGTGTTGGTGTACTTGACAGGTTGAATTGTGGTGAGTGTATGGAGATGTTCGACGCGAATACCCGACAAAGCTTTGGGGATTGGTTCCAAAAGTTTAACAGGGAAAACTTTTCATTAAAAACTCATTTTGAGGAATTGATAACTCTTTTGGATGGTTCTCACGAGTTTACGCTCCTCAGCTACTATCTATATTGCTCACCTTTTACTTTCATTTGGGGGTGCAACTATTTTTCTGATGATTCAGATAATTTCCATGTGAAAAGTTCCAGCGGGGATGTGTTCGAGACGAGGACGAGCGCTGCCACCGCTCTGTCTGGGGTTCTGCGGGAGCTGGAGCCTGGAGGAGTGTATTCCCGACGCAGGTCGCGGTGGGAATGCGATTCCTGTTCCCCAACTCTCTAGCCCTGTTCTCTCGCAGGTAACTGCCTTCTTTAACATGAAACACGACTACACCAAGAGCGTCAACACCGCTATTGAGAGCCTTACAAGCAACATTAATGCCACTATTGAGCACATTAAGGCCCTTGGGAATGATTATCACGCGGCTGTCACCAACTTTGTACAAGCTAATATATCTAATTTCCCCTCCTTGCAACAAGTCAGTTTACTTTACTTTATTACTAGTTTCTTTGCTGGAATTGGAATTAATGGAAGCATTAATTGCTGACGCTTCTTTTGCAGGCTGCCGATTATCTCGACATTCCAACTCTCGCTCGCTTCACATCAATGGCCTTGGGATTTGGATTCGGAGATAATAATATGAAAGAAAAGTCGGTTCAGGATATATCCAACTGGTACGCAGGAATCTCCAAACTAGGAATGCTCTCACCTCTCCTCTCAACCTTCACCAAACAAATTCACTCCATAATTTCTCACCTCGATTTCTTTGCTTAATCTAAATTCCCTAAAATCCAAAGGTGCATTAATGAACTGAGTTTGTGTTTGCGTTTGTGTTTCTGTTTGCGTTTGTGTTTGGGCCTTTTTGTGGTCCCATGTCATACTGAAGCTGTTGTCAGGCTTGATTTGTCAATGTATCTTTAGTTAGTCCTTGGGAATTGAGATAACTGTAGAATAACATTTCTATGGGATGTTTATTCACATGATTCCCAATTATATATGTGTTGTATATCCGTATAGACAGATGGCCCCTCTTAGTGGGTAAATAAAGTAGTACTTTTGTTCTCACATGAATATGATTCTTGTTAAACCTCATTTTACTTTCTCACTTTTCTTTTCTTTTATCATCTATCTTCTTTCTAACTTGCTTATTTACAGAGACAAGAACACAACATTTCACCTGCCTGCAATGTAAATATGTAGGACTTTTGTGTAATTTTTAAGAAGTCATAAAAATATTTTTTAGAATAATTTTGATACATTTATGAAAAAAAAAATGCAAGAACGCCCCCTGCTTATCAATCACTTTTTGTATAAAAAAAAGGAGAGAGAAATTCTAATGAGTGTTCTTTTATTTATTATTTATTTTGTTTATGTAAACGGTGAGCTTGAATCCTCTGCAACGGTACTGCCTCGCAGCAGTGATCTTGGCTATTAGAAATTGGAAAATAAAAACATTTTTATAAGTTGCTGCACAGCTGCAGTAGAGAATCCGTTTAGGGTAGTATTAAAAAATTAGTGTCAGAAACATCTTTCTTCCTTTGTGTTTTTCCCTTGTATTCCTTCATTTTCAGTTTGCCCCAATATTTTAGACTTTGTCTTGAACTGTTGATCAGGGAACTAAGAGGAACCTGACACATCCTAACTCCCAAGTCTTTTATTTTGAACTGTTAATCAAGGACCTGCTTCACATATTGTATCCCAGACAAATTATCCTTTGAGAACTATATCATTAACATATAATCATATATCATAAAAACTGTGAAGGAGATACTAGTGCTCTTAATGAACTGTGAATGATCTACTGTACCATTGACCATAGTGTAGGGACAGTAACGTAGTGGACAACTTAGAATACCTCTGCTTACTTGCTTGTTCATGTCATTACAAGGAATTTTCAAGTTTACGGACTTGTACCCTAATAGTAGTAGAAGGAACACTAGGTGGCAGGACAATGTATACCTCATGCAAATCTACTCTGAGGAAAACGTTACATTAAGTTGCTCCAAGTAACCTCACTGTGGCCAATTGGTCACTGGTGAACATGTGTCAAAGTAATTAATTCTTTCTAGCTGAGTATCCTTCGACAATTAATATTGCCTTGTAGTACTCCTCAACCGTGCCATCAGTCCATCACCATGATACTTTAATTTGTAAACCCACCTATAATAAGAATAACAACCAATGTCCAAATATTTGTTTTAGGGCAGCTATCTCAGCAGCCATTACCTTTTATTTTTCGCTGAGCAGGACTGCCAAACGCGGAGTAAGAAAGTGAACTACAAGTGAGTTACATTGTTAAACCAAAGAGGCTCAAGACAAAAATTGGGGGAGAGGGCGGGGGGAATGGAAGAAAGAAACAGAGACAAATAGGAAGATAATCATGAGAATGCCTAGTCAAGCAATTTGCAATTGTGTTAGCCTTCTGCATAACATGTTTGATTTTGACCAGTCATACACGGTTAATAAGCATTAGACCACCACAAAGTGTATTATTGGAGGGATGATTTATCATGAGGCCAGAATTGAAAGTTGATTTATCATATGTCACGTCAATCAATCTAATATGAGATGAGACCCGATAATATCTAACTAAAAACGAATTAATTTTTCATTAGCAAATCGACATCAGATATTTTCGATTGGCCTGAGCATCGGTCGGCCACGGTCGGTTTCGGACAAAAATTCTTAAAATCATCCAAAACCGATTAAGAAAAATCAGGAGTCATTTCCGACCGACGAAGAACTCAGGTTTTAGCGGGTTCAATCCGTGCGGGTTACGGTTTCATCGGATGGATTCATCGGTTTGAGAAGCTTCCTCTAACGTCTCGTGCCGCCATCCTTCGTCACTCTTTGCCGGTCTCTGTTACTGCTTCATTTGGGAGAAATCATGGAGTTTCAGATCTCCACATCACCACCTTCATCAACCAGAACAGGGAGCTTCTCAGTGGCGGTAGCCATGGCAGGAATAAGTTGAAGAAAAGAGGATGTTTACGGAGTGAAGAAGAAGAAGAAAGAAGACACTATGAAGAAGAAGAAAGAAGCAGAAGAAAGAAGACGGAGTGAAGAAGAAGAGAAAAGAAGACGGAGTGAAGAAGAAGAAGAAAGAAGACGAAGTAAAAGAGACGGAGAAAATAAACGTTGAAGACGAACGGTCGGATTCGGGTGCATCGGATGAGAAAATTCTAACACCGAATCCGACCGTTAAAACCCGTTTGAACCCAAAATTTGCTTCAGAAAAAATCCGAAATACCTGAGAATTAATCCGCTTCACCCGATCTGATCGTCGGTTTGGCCGGTTTCGGATCGGCCGGAAGTTTTTGCCCAGGCCTAATTTTCGATCACTTGATCTCACACTATTACAATTCCTTTCTAAAAATGAGAATTAATTGCGTTAGTTTTAACACCATTTTAACATGTCCTAGCATATGATTGTTGTTTAGTTTAAGGAGTCACATTAATACAACATTTTTATTGGCTGGACAACATTTACATCCAGTGAGTACAGAACAAAGGTAAATTGCAAAGTCACAATCTTCATTTGGTATTATACGAAAGGAATGAGTATTCAAAAGAAAACTACATCTCTATATGTGAATATTTGCCTTGATTTGAGGTTATCATTAATGTTAACGTTTATTTGAAATTAGATAGTGGAAATTACATCTTATCATTAATGGTGTATAGAAACTAAAATGGAATATATAAAGATTAAAATCAACGTTTTTAACAATAAAAGTTAAATAATAAGATTTATGAAAGTATAAGGAAAAAAAGTAATTAACATAAAGTATTTTTTCAATCCACTTAATAGTCCTATTTTAATACTTATATCTTCATAAATTTGTGACTGTGGCTCCCGAGTATTGTTAACGTTCTATTTGGATCAAAAGTAAAATAAAGGGGTTGTAATGAAAGTTCTCTTTGCTTATTTGGACGAGGGGAAAAGTGATAGGAAATTGATTAATAAATAAATCATATAAAAAAACATTTCGTAAAAAAATAATTGTAACTCAAATATTTACACATTTTAACTGTACTATTTTTTCTTAACATAAAAATATTTCTTAATTTTATGTTATGAAAAATAATATAATTTTTAAAAAATTAACAAACTGCTTTCTTCAAATTTAGGTATAATATATATAACATGAGTCACTAAATAAAATAAATTTAAGTAGATTTATTTTTAGGTAAAGTGAATCAAATTACTTCAAAAATAACTTACTCTTAGTAAAATTATTCTACTGAATAATTTATAATGTATATTAAATTTCAACGATTGAACCGTTAAATTAAATATTTTTAATGCATAAATTAAGTCTAAAATTTAAATTTTAAAAATTATCTAATACTTCATTTCATTAATTCTAATTTATGGATATTATAAATGCATTTTATACATAGATATGAATCTATATAATGAAGTAACATGATTTTCAAATTTTTTAAAGATTTGTAAATTTTATATGTACTCTCAAAAATTTTAATTTAATAATTAGATCGTTAAAATTCAACATTCATCATGAGTTATTAAGTATAATAATTTTACCTAGAATTACTCTCAAAATAATTTGATTCCTCATCTATATATAGAGAGATCCATTTATTTTTAGAATAAGTCTGTTTAGACTTACTTCATTCAATAACTCATTATCTACATGAAATCTTAATGATATGACTGTTAAATTAAAAGTTTTTAATACATAGAAATTTGCAAATTTTTTTAAAAAATGAAAATCATTTTAATATTTTATTTTATTAATTCAAATTGATGGATAATCATAAGAATATTTTATATGTTAATTTGAATTTATATAATGTAGTATCAAATAGTTTTCAAACTTTTTAAAAATTTACATATTTGATCTATACATTAAGAATTTTTAATTTAACGGTTAGATTGTTAAAATTAGACGTAGAACATAAGTTATTGAATAAAGTAAGTTTAGATAAACATATTCTTAGAATAAGTGGATCCCTTCTCTCTCTCATACATGTATGCACACACACATACATATATGAGGAATGATCCATTTATTTTAAGAATAAGTTTACTTAGAGTTATTTTACTTAATAATTCATGTTTTATATCAAATTTTAAGACCCCACTATTTAATGAAAAGTCCTTAATGGATAAATCAAGTCTCCAATTTTTTTTTTAAATTGAAAATTATTTGATAGTGTTTCTTTAATTCAAATCAACGTATAAAATATTTTTATGATTATTTGTCAATTTGAATTAAAGAAACAGAGTATCAAATTATTTTTAATATTTTTAAAAATTTGTAGACTTGATATATGTATTAAGAACTGTTAATTTAATGATTGAATTGTTAAAATTTGATGTAAAACATGAATTATTGAATGAAGTAAATTTAAATAAACTTCCTCTTGTAGTAAGTAGATCCCTCTTATATATGTGTGAGAGAGAGAGGAGGGATCCACTTACTCTAAGAGTAAGTATACCTAAATTTACTTCACTCAATAACTCTTGTTCTACATTAAATTTGAACAAAATAACCGTTGAATGAAAAAACTTTAATGTATAGATCAAGTCGGATTTAATCTACACGTTAATAAATTTTAATTTAATAGTTAAATTGTTAAAGTTTTACATAAAACATGAGTTATTGAGTAGAATTAGTCGGGGTATACTTAATCTTGGAGTAAGAATATCTCTCCTCACTCACTCACACACACATATGTTTAAATTCAAATTGATGGATTCTTATAAAAATATTTTATACATTGAATTGAATTTATAAAACGAAATACCAAATAATTTTCATTTTTTCTTTAAATTTGGAGACTTGATCTATGCATTAAGAAATTTTAATTTAATAGTTGAATTATTGAAATTTGATGTGGAACATGAGTTATTGACTGAAATAAGTTTAAGTGGATCCCTTCTCTCTCTCTCTCTCTCTCTCTCTCTCTCTCTCTATATATATATATATATATATATATATACACACACACATGAGTAGAAATCCACTTCATTCAATAATTTATGTTTTTCATCTAATTTTAATAATTCAACTGTTAAATTAAAAGTTCTTAATATACAGATT